CACACACACATATATATATATACATACGCGCGCGCAGACATACACACACACACACACACACAATCGTCCACATGCGATGTGGTCTAGTTCTGACGACGACGGGGCGTTCTATTTGACACTTGTCGACACTTGCCGGTGACAAAGCACAGGACGTCGGAGAGAACACAAAAATAAGAAGGGAAACGTAGGATACGCATGTAATAGAATGCTTTGCTTGACACGATACTGTAGGATAAGAACTATGGGAACCTCATTAAGCTTTAGACTTGATTAGAGCCCTCGTGTGCTGCAAAGCGTGGTACGGGGTCCGTGTTTATACTATTATACGTGGTCAACACAAATTTTTATTACGGTAGCCTTCAGGAATATATATACAGAATCATTATAACACGACACCTACATTCATATATAATATTATTAACATCAAGGCACAAGACTTTTATATATAATAAATGTAGGCCTATATAAAATGTGTACATAATGTATAGGCATAAGTGTATAAAATATAGCCTACATAATTTATATAATAGGCCTACAATTATATATCAAAGCACAAGACTTCTATAAGTATAATACAGGCTAAACTGTATGTATATATAAATATTGAAATGCACCGTTTTACCGCTATATCGACACAATTTCGAACATTCAGAAGGCGAACGTTAACACTGCCTGTCAAGGTCAATCGGGACTGAACCGAGAGAGCCACACCCCCCCCCCCCCCCGAAACACACTTATTTAGACCACGTAGAGTAGTAGAACGCCGGTTGCATCAACGCAATTTGTCTCCCTTGATTTGATTCTCATCTCAAAGGTGAAATTTGGAACACACAGCAGTATGCAGTACGGTACTCCGTGTGGTCAAGAAAGAAAGATACTAAATTTCTTTGACATTTTTTTTCCTTCAAATAAAATCTCACACTGATAAAATAGTGTTTACTAGCTGTCCAGTTAGTGAAATGCTCTGTCAATGTTTCTTCTTCAAGCCTGAGATCTGAAACAGGCATCACCATTGGCATATACATATATATATATACATATATTCCAATATATAGATTAAATATACATAATTATTGTTTGATAATTATTGCTTGTCACTTGTTTCAGATGTCTCTCCTTAGTTGCTGATTTTGGCATTCCAATAATTTTATTTTGGACAGGACGGAGAAGAAAAAAACGAGATTCCAACTTAAAATTTTAGTGCATTTTTATAATAATGCTTGTATTTAGGGCCTGAACATCTAGGAGGCATGATCTTGCTAGGAAAGCATGATCTTGCTAGGAAAGCATGATCTTGCTAGGAAAGCATGATCTTGCTAGGAAAGTTAAATCCTAGGCCCAAACTTGTTAACTTTGTCTGAGTGCAGCACTGGTCAATTATCAGACTCTACTTCAAATACTGCCTTCTAATATTCAGCTACATAAGGTCTTCATTCCAATAATTCACAAACTGGCGCCTGTTCAATTATAAATTTAAATAATACTGTTGTCATGTATGTTACAATTTTTTGGTCGTCCCAACCCCAAACTCCTTTCAATTGAGGGGCTCACTACTGAAAATGTGCTTTTTATCTTTTATATAAGAAAATGTAGAATAAAGTAATATTATAAAGTGTTGCTGTAATTATACTGTGTGGCTAAAGGAATAATAATTCACATGTTCAATGGTTAGACATAAAATACACAAGTTGCTATCGTAACATTAGCCTAAAAAAAATTGGGAATTTGTTTTTAAAAATTATTTTTATTTGAAATTGTTCATACCAGTAGGCATGATGTTGTAAAAAGTAGGTTCAGTTCCAAGTGTAGTATTACATTGATTTTTGTTCTTCATGGAGTGCTTCAAATTCAAAGATGGTAGACAGGCACTCTTACAAAATGAACAGTCGACTACAGATGAGTTGATGTCTTCCAGGGAGTGAAATAGAGATCAACTCATCCGAAATTCGACTTTACTGTTGGGAACCGTAAAGAAGAAGAGGTGCTCAGACCTTAAAAAAAAGATCAACTTAACCGACGGTCAACTTAGGCAAGTTCAACACAAGTGGAGTCGACTGTACTTATAATCTGTTCACTGAATACAGGGTTGAAATTGTCTAAGACAGCCATCCACTGTCTTAGATGGGTGACTGTCTTAGACAGGACTGGTGGGTGGTTGGCAGGTGCTTTTGTGTGGTTTGCTTAGTTCTTCTTTCCTATCAAACATCTATAGTCTTAATCTCCCCTCCTTTTTTGTGTTTGTTACTCTCTTGTAACCTGTAACACCTCTAATCATCGGTACTTATATGACCTAATTGTGTTGTGAGTGCTGTAAAACTCTTACTAAAAAAAAAGACAGGACAGATCAAAATATTCAAAAAGAGGTGCTGTAAGGTCCATATAATTTTTTTTCACCAACCTTTTGGGAAAGGGTAGAAAGGGAGGTTCAGCATCTGCTGTGAGTATAAAATTCTATGCAGAGTATTAGACAAGGAAGCCAGTGTGTATGTAATACTTAGAGTAAAACAAAATGAAATGTGTCGAGAGAGGGAAACCTAGCGCTATGGTAAACCAAACAAATGGGTTGCCAGCCACTTGGCTATCTTAGATCAGGCCACATAACCCGTACGAACGGCTCCAGCACTGAAGGCCAGCTACGTTCACAGTGAGTCTGGGTGAGGTAAACAAAGATCAATGCAAAAAGTGGTGCAACAAAATTTTTTGTAAGTGTTTTATTGTGGGGGAAAATATAAAATCAGTCTGCTAGTTCCTGGAAATGCGGTACAATATCGATATTTCGATTTCGATACGCCCACCACTACTATTCGTACTTCGTGTTTTACTATCGTATCCATACAGCGTGGGGAACTCTGTGCCCCCAATTTCCAAAAAGGAAATTTATTCATTAATTCAATCCATACGCTTTGCATAGCAGTCTGTCAAAATGATTTTTTGAGAAATACTGAAAGTTTCAAAGAGAAATTCGCAAGTCACTAGAAGTATTCTAAAATGTGAAGAATATAACCCCTGGGGTACAAAATGACCCCAGGCGTACGGATAGGGTTAAGCCTATTGTTTATCGACACTTTTCACACTGATCGACGTTCATCTCAATGAGAATTGAATTGGTCAAGCTTCAATGCCGCAGCCAACCATGCGGGTTATGCAGCCTGCAGTAAGATTGCCTTGGTCGCCACATGGCAAACGAGCGACAATTGTCGCAAACACATGTTGGCGTGCATGGTTAATGACTGAGTAAACAGATCGTTCATCTCACTTAATATTCATGTATAAATATGGCTATATGTGATGGAATTAGGCGTTTGTCAATTTTTGGACATATATGGGGCTATAGGTATCATCTTAAAGCCTCTTCATTTGAGTTCCTTTTGGTGAAAAAAATATCCTTCTATGTTGAATAGAAGTTAACATATTTGCGACTGAAGGAGGTCTGGGTCCCCCTGTTTTCAGAGGTAAAATTCGTGAGAAAAGGGCCACCAAAGTTTGGAAACTTCCACAGCATGAGAGTCCTCAGAAACTGAAAATTTATATTTTTGCGCCCTTATTCAATGTTTTTCAATAAAATCCACACAAAAATGAGTTTTTAAAGGGACATAAAAAGTTTTGAGCCATAAAAAGAAAATTAGAAAAAAATTGCCCACCTGCCAAAAAAATGCCGATTTCTTTGATTTCATTATGATTATTTTGACAAGCGCCATATCTGAGGCATCGTGGTGAAATCAGGCGCTCGTCAAAATATGATGGTTAAAGTTGAGGGCAGGGCTATTGGTCCTGGATTATAACGACATGACATGATTGTTCAGATACCTCCTTCACCAGCAACGGAAGGAAAATTTGTTACTGACTGGTCCGGGAAACTCGACATCTAGATTTCTCTAAGGCCTAGAAATCGAATCCCAAAAACATTATTCGAGAATGGCTGGTTTATTTCGGACGAGCCAGTCATTTGGGCTTGGGAATATTAAAGTTAAAGGTCTAGTAAGAAAGATTGTGTAAAGTTCAGTAAGTTACGCACCAGGCCAACAAATCCAATTTAATTTACTAGAATTGACAACTTGCTGGCTTCATAGCGTACTGTCCACACATAAATGGCCACGGCTATTCGGACTCAAGTCTGAATAGCAAGCCTCCCGTGGCTATTCGGACTCAAAACTCCTATGCGCATCCCCAATCAACGGGTGTACCGGATGTGAAGCGGAAAGGCAATTATAATCAATTCGACCTCGGCCTTCCTCGGTTTCTACGATCTGGCCAAAATTTTCAACACAAATTAAGAAAAGTATTATTAGTGACATCAAAAGTGAACAACAGTTGCAAAAACTGAAATACTACACAAGAAAGGCAAACAGGGAAACGACAATATGATCGGGTCGGGGACGATGGCCCCACTCGTCACGTGAAAACAAACGTGTTTTGTTTTAGAGTCGACTAGTCGGGCGCAATCAGCCACTTTGCGCCATCAATCTGGTTGCAAACCACTCCGACCAGACCCGATTCCCCAATGCACACCCCGTATTACATTACATAGCCACACATTGAAGTTTGAGTCCGAATAGCGACAGGAAGTTATTCAGACTCGAGTCCGAATAGCCACTTCGTACATACATACATGCATACCATACAAAAAGAGGACAATAACAATGGTATGGAAAAGTCTACAAAGTACAAGAACATTCACATACAATACATCTAATCATACATGAATACATGATACCGCTAACCTCCAGTTTATTTTTAAATTTTATTAAACGGAAAGAGGAAGATGAGGACTAGAATCTAGATTCTACACAAGTTCCTACTTTGTTAGAATAGTTAGATCTATAGATCTAGCCTAGATCTGGCCTACTTTATACTTTATTGATTGAGATTGACTGACTACTGACATTGTCTGTGTGTATTGTACTAAAGTTTAGAAAGACTAGATCTAGATCTATTTAAGAAGTAAAGTAGCCCTTCCTTAGCGCCTGCCTTAGCTTGGCTTAGCAACAGCAGTGTCTAACCTTATTTATGAAACTTCAAAAAGACTCGTTATCCGCCGTGTTCGGTAATGTCTTGGCGTTGCAGTTCTTTGTCTTTGCAACAGCTTCTGCATCAAGGCAAAATATCGGTCAAGGTTTAAAAGTTGAGGCACGGCATAGCTGGAAATAATCTTGGTGACTTGGTACTTGGTGAAAGCAATCCTTGGGTGAAAGCGAAACTATGTCAAAATTCGAATTTCGCATTCTTGCTTCTTCAACTGCACATTTTTGGTTTACCCAATGTTTATACGTTTTCATGAAAATAGAAGCAAAGGGGGGTAAACCATAGTCTAATGCTAGTCCGAAGGAAGTTGAAGGTTGGCAGGAAAGTCATACTTTTATCAGTGAAGATAATAATAAAGTGCACACACACACACACACACACACACACACACACACACACACACACACACACGCACACATACACACACACACATACAAACAAACTGACACACACACTTTAAGCCTAGCAGAATAATATAGTCTAATAATTAGCCTAATTGGTTTCTCGGGTAGGCCCTCAATATTATTGACTTTTTAAAGAATCTCTGAGACAGAAAAAGAAATCAAATGGGGAAGTAATGATAGAAGCTCAAGTGGGCCGCTCACTGATAAAAATATCAGGAAGTGGCAACTGCAGTTTCTATAGGCCTACATTTAAAATTGTAATAGACACTTGGTGGGACGGGTTTCGAACAGCTTATTACACTTATAGGCCTATACTTATATAATTATTATGCCTTCAGTGCTGGAAAGATGGAAAGCACGAGGCAGGAGACCTAGAGAAACTTATTTTAAAAATCTGAACAGATGGGTGACAAGGAAACATAGATATAATAGTTTTGGTGTTTTTTCTGCGAGAAAATGCTTCGATTACTACCACTGCTACAGTCCGCCCCCATTGCTACATTTTGCTACATTTTGCACTGTTTTGTGATTTCCCAAGCCACCAATAGTACAATCTAGTTATCCTCTGTTATATATCGATGTAATTTTGTGGTTCTAACTTTCGCACGAAACAAAGTCGTAGTGGGTTTTTACCCCCATTTGTTCAGCTAAGGACTAGATCTAGATCCAAGTTTAAGTAAACAGTAGTTTTTGACAATTTTTAGCATTTGTTTGAAAGTAAGCTAATATCACGTAGATATCAAGGTCTAGCTTCATGTTTTTTATTGCTTGTTCGGCCTCTGACCTCTGACTTCTAGATCCTTGATCTAGAAAAAGCCGGTGCACGCCAAAAGAAAGCCCCGAAACGGGACCGATACTGTTGAAGTGGAAAAGGAAATGTAAAATAAATGCATTAATATAAGTTGTAAAAATAAATAATCATTAATAACGAACGGTAGCGAACAAACAAGAAATCTAAAACCTGCACACGTCCTCGAACTAGAACGATTGATAATATATATCTATAACAACCACAAGGAAGCGGCAGCCGAAATAGCTCAGTTGGGAGAGCGTTAGACTGAAGATCTAAAGGTCCCTGGTTCAATCCCGGGTTTCGGCACGGAACCTCCGGCGGCTAGCCCAATTTTTTTATTTATTAATTATTTTTTTTTTAAAGAAATTTTCTTTTTTCCCTATACTTTCGTAATTATTAATCATTCCTTTTCGTTCCGTTTGCTGACATATTCCCACTGTATCTTTTTTTAAAAATCTCATAATAATACTAGGATTTCTTACTGATCTTACACGATTCGTTTGCTCTTTTTTTCTTCTCATGTCTACCATGCGGCAACGTTTTGCGAATTCTTTCGGTCGATGAAAGTGGACAACACGTAGATCTACCAAAATCTGTAAAAACAGCTTGTTTTAAAAGAAACAGTGTTACCATAACATCTCTCTCTCTCTCTCTCTCTCTCTCTCTCTCTCTCTCTCTCTCTCTCTCT